TATATATATATATATATATATATATATATATATATATATATATTGCAAAATTATTGAAGTTTGTAACTTATTTAAGTTGATGTAACCTCTATTTATTTTATTTAAGTTTAAATTTAAATGAGTTGAACCAGATTCAACCAAATAATTTGACCGATTGAATTGGGAAAAAAATAAACAAGTTAACCTTATGTCAACTTATTTATTTAGGAGATTAGGTTGGTTTAAGTTGAAAATCTCAACCTTTTTAATAAGGGAACTGATTTTTCTAAGGAAGATTTTTATTCTTCCACTGAAAATATCATGCATTGACATTTATGCTCCTCCCTTTTTAGTCCAGACCTAGGTTTAACAGGAGTTTTGTAGAGAAGCATGGTAGTTTAAACTAAATTACAGGAAGATTGTAAATTGCTTTTTTAATAAATTGTTTTATTAGACTAAAGGGAGTGGTGACACTCCTAACACCCTGCAACATCATTTTTTTTGCTGCCATGTCATTTTTTGGCATGCCACCTTGCTAGCATCTTTTCCTTAACATTTTATAGGGAGTGGTAGCACCCCTAACATTCTTTGATTTTTTTTATAATCTATTTACCAAAATTAAATAAATTATATTTTTTAATACACAAACATTTAATATTAAATAAATTATATTTTTATAAAACATAAAAATTTAATATTAAATAAAAAGGTTTCTATTTTTGTACAAAAAATACTAAGCGGTTGAAACTTTGGGGACCAAATGTATAACTTTTTTATTTCTTCCTCAGTAACTTCTTCCACAATTCGTTGATTTATGAAAACAAAAACACTAAATCGAAGGTTTATGAAAACATCACGCACGACTAGCCTTACAAAAAAATTAGTTTGCTTAGGGTGCGTTTAGTTGCAGAAAAATGGGCCGTTTTCTGGAAAAATTTTCCAAGAAAAATGAGAATTTTGAAAACGCGTTTAGTTCGTCTATTTTTCTAAATTTTTCACGGAAAATGAAAATTTCAATGAAAATTTTCCGTCTTCTAAAATTACAAAGAAGTTGGAAATTTTTGGAAAAACCGATAATCATTGTTTTCCACATTTTTCTAATTCCAAAATTTCTCTAAAATATAAACACCCACTCCCACCCCATCCACTTTTACTTACCCTCACATTAACACCTCCAACCCACCACACCCCTACCTACCCACACTCACTCTCAAGCCCACAAACAC